CGCAGTCCTTCAGGCGGTTAGTAAACTGCCTTCCAGCCTCGTCGCCGCTCCTGCTGTGCGGGGATTTCAACATGCATCACCCACAGTGGGAGCCATTCTTGGAGTCTTCTCCAACCGAGGTTGCTGCAGAATTTTTAGAACTGTGCACGGATGCGGGACTCACCTTGGTTAACACCCCTGGTGAGATCACGTATGCTCGTGGCACAGGAGAACGATCCTGTATCGATCTGACATGGTCAAAGCATTTGACTGTGTCAGATTGGTCAGCTTCTGTGTCGCCGCTTACTGATCATTACATGCTAACATTCACGCTGCATCAGGCATTTATGGATACCATACCTTCGGCACCTAGGATATTCTACAGTTGGGGGAAGTGCAAATGGGATTTATTCGTCAAGGACCTCGACGCACAACTTCCGGCATACAACCATAAAAAGCAGTCCACCGGCATTAAAGCTTTCACGAGAGCGCTTATTACTTCGTATCGACGACACTGCCCCCGCGGCATGCACAAGGATGGTCCCAGGCTTTGGGACGACACTCTCATGGAGGCAGAGCGGATTGCTACCGACAGCAAGGCCCGCTATCTACAGTTACCGACGCCCGACCGTGAAGCAGAAATGCAACGGACAAGGAGTCAATTCTTCCTCCTACTCCGAGAGCGCTTGCGCAACACGTATCCACGTCGCATCAGCAAGTTAAATCCAGGCGAACCACTCGCATGGAAATACATTTCCGGACGAAAAAAGGCATCACTGCCATCTCCCACATCAATTTTATTGGGAGATGGTCAACACACTTACAAAACAGCAAGGAGAGCAGCAAATGCTCTCAATCGCATCTTTTTTCCACTTCATCCCTCTCACAAGGCAGTAAGGCCTTCTAAGGGCATCAACAGACAGAACCCATCTTTGAACATTGTTTCTTCTTCTTCTAGTTCTGAGCCGCAGGACAACAACGAGTCTGTCTCTACATTTACATCAGGGGTTTTGTCACTGCCCTATTGATGCACCTTTTAATCGTACGGGACTGCTTGCTGCGCTACGTACTATGCCGTATGGCAAGGCCCCGGACCGGATGAAGTCTACAGTGAGGCGCTACGACATATTTCGTCAAAGGGTCTCCGATTCCTTCTTCGTTGCATTAACCACAGCTGAACGACAGGTACGATCCCGGCTGAGTGGAGACGCGCTACCATTGTCCCACTCTTAAAACCCGATAAGTCGCCGGAACTGCTTGAGTCGTATCGACCCATCAGCCTTACTTCCATTGTGAGTAAGGTTGCTGAGAAAATGGTACTGAAGAGATTGCTTTGGGTGTGGACGCCACACCCCCACCAGTATGCATATCGTAGTATGCGTACCACGACGACGCAGCTGGCACACCTGATACACGAAGTGGAGCATAATAGAAATCATTATTTCCAAGTGAACCTTCCCAAGAAGAGCGGTGTTGGTAATCAACTCCACTAAAGGCCCCATCGGACTCTGCTGGTGTTGGTTGATTTCAGCAAGGCCTTTGACTCCATAGATCATCGAGTCCTCAGTCGCTTGCTGGCTAATATTCCGGGGGTGAATTGTAGAAGGTGGCTTAGAAACTTTCTATGTGGTCGTAACGCGAGGACACGAGTTGGTAACAGAAACAGTGATCGGCGTCCCATGCTGCGAGGAGTTCCTCAGGGGTCCGTACTGGGACCATATTTGCTCTCCCTTTACGTACACCCACTTCTCAATCTGCTGAACAGCTTTGCGGGTGTCACAGCAGACATGTATGCGGACGACCTCTCTATTATTGTTAAGGGGCAGTCCCGGGAAGACACCATTACCACTGCCAACATGGTTCTCAAAAAACTGCATGTGTGGAGTCAGGAAAATGGCCTGGCCATTAACCTGTCAAGGCGTGAAGCCGCTTGGTTCACACTCTCCACGCACACGGAATCAGATTATGATCGTGAAGGAAAGTGGCCGCTGGAAGTGGCTGGATGTAAAGTCCCAGTCATGACCATGGGAGCATCGCGAACTACGAAGCTTCTTGGCATGGATCTCGATCCACGACTGACGCTAAATGTGGCGGCCTCCAAGCACTGCGCTGCCACTTCGCAACGGATATCGCACCTACGCTGCATAGCGCATAAAGAGGCGGGACCATCTCCACATGACCTACGCACGTTCGTCATTGGATACGGTGCTTCCAAATTGCGCTATGGCAGTGAGCTCATATGGGCAGTAGCGACGGATTCAGCGAAGAATGAAATGCAAAAGACGTATGCAACTCCGGCACGCATTGTCATCGGAGTTCCGAGCACTGTCGACCCGGAATCCGCACTTCTAGAGGCTAATATGCCGCCGCTCCACGTCCTCTGCCTGCGCGCGCGGCTCTCCATATTTGAGAACACACGCGCATGCCAGATGGACTGGATGCGGAGACCCCCGCCTGAGCCACCGCCTCGCGCAGGTTTTTGCATCTCGCCATTATCTCGGGACGAGCTATATGCCCTTGTAGACGCATACACAAAGGACTATGGCATCACTCAGAGCTCACCACGCGAAGGGCGGTTCTTTCGCAGCTCCATTCCTCCCTGGTTTGAGGCCTCCGCTCACCAGGTCACCATTGGCGTGGAACTTCCGATAGACCACTCAATAACTGACGAGGAAGAGCTGATACGGGAAAAGCGCAGAGTCAGCGGAGAGGCTCTAGCGCTGCACAGCCACCGTTCGTGAATACTTGCGAAGGGTGGCGGTGTAGACGTTCCCAAGTCAGCCGGGGTTGGAATACTGCTTCCATCCCTCAATTCATCGGAGATAATAGAAAAGTCCAGTATAAACTGCGGCACACGCCCATGCAGCTACAGGACGGAATCCCGCGCACCGCTTCTATCCCTGGAAAGGCTGATTATCCCTCGTATCCAGCACAGGCATAAAACCCTGCTTGTGGTTACAGACAGTCAGTCTCTTCTAGCGGCTCTAAACAAGGGTCCGCTCAGTCAGACAGACTGGACGGAGGATCAGATCTGGCAGCGTCTCTTGACACTGATGTGTGCTGGCTGGTCTGTGCACCTGCAGTTTTGTTGCGGACATTGTGGAGTACATGCTAACGAGCTTGCAGGTCAGTATGCGACGCAGACTATGGAGACTGGACAATACACGGAGCAAGGAATTGCACATATATGGCATACGGATCTGCTGACATGTTTTACTACCCAGCTTATCAATAAGTGGCGTAGTACCATTCGTCAAGACACTCATCGCTGCTTGCTTTGCGGCACAAGGCCATCAGATCTCAGCGGTAAGGACCTGATCACTCAGGAAGTTCTCCACCGTCAAGAACTGGTTCACCTCGCAAGGGCAAGGTGCGGGGAATCTGAGCTCTGGGGCCGATTATACTGGGCTGTGAGAGATTGCACGAACCAATGCCGTTTCTGCAATATCTCACCGGAACAGTCTGCATATATGCGCTCCAACAACGATCCAACTGCACCGGGGACGGACACTGTTCCCCCGTCGGCAAGGGACGAAGACGTCTCTCCAGTAACGGGACGGACCGTCACACGCCGTCGGAAGGAGAAATGTCCGTACTGCGATTCTATATTGACGGGATTCTCGAATTTCATCAGTCACTGTCGGTCATTTCATCCGGAACATCCTCCACCGCTTCCTGAGCTCAAATGCAATTTCTGTGACATGGTTTTCCCCACACGCAGAAGCACCGCACAGCAGAGAAGTCGCTGCGCACACAACCCAGACGCTAATCCATATCGCAGCAGTGCCAGGAGGCGATCTCTGCTGCCGCAGGATCAGCCTGCTTCCACAAGCACGCCAATTGGCCCGCAGGAAACCTTGCACCATCTGCTTCTAGGATGTCCAGGCACCTTGGCTGTGCGCCAACGGCTGAGCATTGAACAAGAACTCCGCCACGGAAAATTCTCTCAATGGCAGTTGCTTCATGGCAGGAAACTTTTGTCGCTGCTCGACCACCTCTTCGGCACCCAGATGGCATTGTATAGCTAGACGCGCTGTTAAGAGTAGGAAAAAAAATATAATGACCTCATGACGTCCAATACCACCGATGTGTACGGGCGATGGGACTGTATCCATGGTCCTCGAGCACCCGCCCCCGCCGCTAAGGAGCCCACAAACAGCGGTGCGTGCAGCAGCGCCACACAGACCATGTCTTCTTTAAACAAAAAAATTAAGGAGAGTAGAGAAGTCTAGTTCGAAGGTGACATGTCCTTGCCGACGGTGAGCAGTGGCGAGCGCATCACCTCGTGGGTGGACACACCACTGCTGCTTCTACTTTTGGGACTGTGTGGTTGTGGCGGTTTTTTGAGCCACGGAGTGTGGCGTTGCGACTTCTCACAGAGACCGTGTGCCGCGTTCCCTGCGGGCTTTCTTTTTCTTTTCTTTTTTTTTTTTTTTTTTTTTTTTTTTTTTTTTTTTTTGATGTTCTTTTTAATGTTGTTTACGTGGAACAATGGGAGTACCTTTTTCTTTTGTTTTAACTTAATGATCAGTTGATGCGCATCTTTATGAGCGAAATGGTTTTACTCTTGATTGCTTCTGTTGCCTACACGCGGTACAGGCCCCACGGCTGTGCGTTCCACAGACGACACAAAAGGAGGAGTGGAGGGACAGGCCGGATGCCGCATGAAATGTGTGGGATGTTGTGTGGGCTTGTGGAACAGTAATATTTTTTTCCTTGTGCAGGTACTGTACGCATGTACATATAAACACAGTCCTGCTTTGCCGCATGGCGTATGAAATGATGATTCTGCCGAAGCGTATTTTTTTGGAGGAGGAGACTCCCGTTGGGCACTCAATTACTCTTTTTGTTTTGGTATTGCTTTTTTACTTCTGGTGTGCGGGTCAGTGTGCGTGCTTCTGCGGGGCTGCTGCCGTTGTTTACTGTGCGTGTTACTGTGTGACTTGTCTCTCCTTTTGCTTTCACTCTCTGTGGACGTGTTGTTAGTTTGTGCTGAAGGCTACACGCAAGTGACAGGAGTGATGGCGATGATGATGACTGGCCGTGTGCTGCTGGTGTGTGCCCTCTGCGTGCTGTGGTGCGGTGTCTGTGGGGTTTATGCGAGGAACCCTGACAACAACTCACTGGGCGGCTACATGGCGTCGGGAGGGTTTGGAAGGAATAAGTCGTTTCTGTCAACTGGAGCCAGTAAAAACTTATCCACACCGCCTTTGCTGTCAGCATCGTTTATCTCTGCTATACAAGCCGAAGCTCGTGAAGGAGAGGTTTCTTCTCCAGGAGTTACTGATTCACCTTTAAGTGGAGCCACGGGTCTTAGTCCTGCTTTTTCCGGTCTTGGTCCTGCTGTTCCTGGCCCTGGTCCTGGTTTTGTTCATGGTCATGTTCATGGTCCTGCTGGTCCCGGGGATGGTGCTGCTGCTTTTTCCGGTCTTGGTGCTGCTGGTCCTGATCCTGTTCGTGGTCCTGCCTTTTCCGGTCCTGATGCTAATATTTTTGGTGCTCCTGTTCCCGGTAATGGCCCTGCTGCTATTCCTGGTGCTCCTGTTCCCGGTCATGGCCCTGCTGCTATTCCTGGTGCTCCTGTTCCCGGTAATGGCCCTGCTTTTTCTGGTCTTGGTGCTGCTGTTCCCGGGGATGGTGCTGCTGCTTTTTCCGGTCGTGGTGCTGCTATTGCTGATGCTGCTATTCCTGGTGCTGCTGGTCCTGTTCGTGGTGTTGATGCTCCTATTCCTGGTCCTGCTGTTCCCGGTGATGGTCCTGCTTTTTCCGGTCTTGGTGCTGCTGGTCCCGGTACTGCTGATCCTGCTGCTATTCCTGGTTCTGCTGTTCTCGGTCATGGTGCTATTCCTGGTTCCATTTCTGATGCTGCTATTCCTGGTCCTGCTGGTCCCGGTGGTGGTCCTGCTCTTTCCGGTCTTGGTGCTGCTTTTTCCGGTGCTGGTCATTCTGTTGCTGGTGGAAGTGAACCTCCGAACTCTCGCTCCGTCGTTATTTCCTCAAATCAAGGTGGTAATGGAAAAACAACCCCGATCAGTGTTTCATCCGATGAGCAGATTGTATCCTCACAAGAAGTTTTGGCACAAAAAGAAACAGGGAGTCAGCACACCTCTTTGCCCGAAGAACAGCCAACGGTGTCATCAAACAATGAAAAGCAAAGAAACAATTTTGCTTCAGCAGGGGGTCGCAGTCTTGGCCACAACGCCGCGGGACATGAACTCCAAGACTCTTTGGAAGAACAAAATAAAAATGAACATTCACAAACGAACGAGACAAAAAAATCATCAGGGGATCAAATTACAGAATCCCAACGCAGTGGAAAAGAAATCTCGGAAGTATCCAACACAAAAACGCATGGGATAAAAACTCAACAGCCAAAGACAAATCCAGTAAATGAGAAGAACTACAGTCAAAGCACGGATGCATCCCACACCACCTCCCCTCTTTTGCTTCTTGTTGTTGCGTGTGCGGCTGCGGCTGCGGTGGTGGCCGCGTGAGAGTGAGTGAGAGAGAGCCGTGCACCGCCCGCGCACACACTCGTCCTTCACTCACTCTCTGTGTGTGTCCCCTTGCATGGACTCTCGCCCTCACCTCACCCCACGAAGCACACACATAATGTGCCCATTGTATATATTGCATGCACACCCATGCAGGCCCGTTGGTGCTCTCTTTTGCACGACACGCACCGCTGCCGTCCTGCCTGGCTGCATGGGCGGAGCACCGTAACTGTTTCTGTTTTGTTTTTATTGCATTGAGTGGGCGACCTCTCTCTCTCTCCCTGTGTGTGTGTTTTGCTTTACGAGAGCAATGAGAGTGTTTGCGCTGGTCGTCCCACGCTTCGGCTTTTTGTTTTGTTTTTCATTGTTTTGTGGTTGAGAGCACCCATTCCGCGGGCTGCGTGTGTGTGTGTGTGTGTGTGTGTGTGTGTGTGTGTGTGTGTGTGTGTGTGTGTGTGATGATATGAGTAATTTGAATGTGTGCTATCCGCTTTTCTCTGCCGTTGCTTTCTTTGGACTCTCTTGTGGCGCACAGCTGCTCTGCAACTATAGGCGCTGCCAAGCACACACACCGCCTACACACACATATTTGTATGCTCTCAAGTGTTGCTGCTGTGAAGGCACCCCGCACACACAACCGTCGCCGCGCGACCGGATCCAGCGGAAGGAGGAGGGAAGGAAGAGAGAGTGAGCCGCAGAGGCCCAACATGTCCCGGCGTGTGTTTACTTCCGCGGTGCTGCTCCTTCTCCTCGTCGTGATGATGTGCTGCGGCACTGGTTTTGCTGCGGAAGCTGCGGGGCAGCCATCTCAAAAAAAGTTTGAATGGAAAGTCTTCACTGAGGGTGAAACTTTGGAGTCGTTGGGCGCTCCCGGTCTTCTAAAAGTGGGGAGTGACGAGTAATTCGGGGAATGCGCAATTGCCGCAGGGAGTCGATCTATTTGTGCCGCAGACGACGCAGGTGCTGGCGAAAGGTGGAACGTCTCAAGAGACTGAGAGGGATTCATTTGTTTCACCCTCTCTCGCCAGTGCTGGTGGAGTAATTGCTGCTTTTGCCGAAGGTCGCGTGTATCGCGAATATCAAGACGGTAGACAAAAAGAGAAAAATTCTTCTGATATTGTGGTGGGGTACATCGAC